AGAAACAAACAGAATCCCCCCAAAAACCCAAACATGGAAACAACATAACTTTAATCAAAGTTTTTCAATTATTCCATTTGAGTTTTCAAGTTGTCTCTCTTGATACTACAGATGGAGCTTGTTATCTCTTAGTCTGTTCTACTGGCCCAAGACCCCAGTCTTAGCTATGCTAATACAATTATTTCATAATAAAAACCTCCATAAAGTAATCTTACTTTTTTTCCCATATCTGTGGTGATTCTTCTGAGATACATCTAGGACTTTGAAGATTTTGAGGAGGGCAGACTGAAGGAAAATGAAGCTCTAGTCTCTTCCCAAGTATTTTCAAAGCCAGGTCAGGTGTCATCTAGAACTGTCAATAATTTTTACTGGGCTTGCAGGATCTCAGCCCTTCAGAATAACAAATGGGTTGGTTGTACTGAAGCAATTTTCAATTTACTATGCTTTCCTCATGGGATACACCTACACTGTTGCATATAAAGGCCTTCAGGGAAGCCTGAAACCTAAAATACTTATCCATGTACACTGGAGAAGGCATTTCTGTTTGTAAATAAGTATAGAAAATGATACCAAGACTACTTGTTGCAGCACATGTTGGTTCTGAGCCTCCAGGTGTGTCACTTGTCATTTTGCAGATGCTCATGATGTTCATGACCCCTTCCTTGAAGCATGTAGAAAGCCCCTGGCATTGCCTGTCTCCAGTGAAAATGGCATTTGGAGAGGGGATGGTCATGCTGTGACTTAGGAGGACTCAGGATACTGGCCTACTGTTGGGGAAGGTTGCAACAGGACTTAGATAAACATAAATACCATCAGTCATCATCAGACTGCAGTCCAGGTGACAAAGGAGTAGACAGCCCAACAACTGCAACAATGGGCTGACATTTCTTTGGGAAAAAAACACACATTTCTGGAGAATGTTGCAGGATATTTAATATATGCATAGCACTGCTACTGCCACCACCAATCCACCCTCATAATTCCACAATTAGTGAGGTATTTCTTTAAAAATGCCATACATACACAGAAGTGCATAAAGCCTTATTCATCAAGCTTGAATGAGTCAACATCCAACTGGCTGTAAAGGTCCTACTGCCCAAACTTAAAGCCATGAGATCAAGATCAGCAAAAACATTTAGATGTCTGACTCCCAGTGCTTTTAGTGGGATCATGATTCCACATTGCTTGTTTTGCCCAAGAAGCAGGCAGCAAGAAAAGCTCAGCACCCTGATAAAGTGATTCAAGCATGTGATGGCCTCCTGAATCTTTTATGGCAAATAAGCTATCAATATTTTACTTATACTATTAGAGTAACTAAGTTTCTTTCACATTACCTGAAATGATCATTCTTAAATGTGGAAAGAAAAGGCTCTAAACCTTGTTTGGTGGTCATTGTGCCAGGCTTCCCCCAAAAAAGGTGATTAGGAAAGCATTCCTTTCTCCATGTTACACAAGACATTTGGAATTAATTAACTTTTCAAATTAATTTCTCTGATCTGAATCCAGTTACAACAGGTGTGAGGCTGCTAGTGGTAGCTAAAGCTGTAAGTAAAAAGTCTAGAGGGAGCTTGTCATTTTCTGTTATGAGAAATAGCAGCACCATTCTGGGACAGATCAAAAATAATAATTCAACTGTGGAGGCCTCCTGGGTCGTTTTGCAAGTCAATTACTCTCTAAATGATTAGTTTGGAAAAAGTTATGTGAAAAAGGGAACAGGCCTTTCATTTTAAAGTTATTTGTATGACTCTTGCAAGTTGTTTATTTTGTTTATAGCCTTAGGTGAAAAGAAATTAAGTCTGTTTGAAGTGGGAATTATTCACATTTTTCGGCAAAAGCATAATCATACCACACATTCACAGGGCTCAGGCTTTGGAGCCTGTGAAGCATTCACTTAGTAGCAAGCTTAGGCAAACCAGGCAACTACTGAAAAGAGGAGAGTTTAAATACTTCTGGTTTTATTGCATCATGGAAAAACTTATCATTTATCTCATTAAGATGGAGAATTTTTACTGGAGAACCCTCACTGAGTTTATAAGCTTGCCTGCTGTGTTGACTGGAATAACTGCAAGAGCAGAGTTGTCCCTGTGCCTGGGGACAGATGTTAGCCTTTGTGGGAAGGTAAGGAAGGTAAATTGGTGACAGATTCAGAGTACTTTTAAAAAAGTAAGTAAGTCTCCCTTGGCTTAAACAGATGGGGCATATAAAATAAATACATGCAACTTCAATTTAGTTTGCTTGCAGAAACCTCAGCTGTAATACCTACATGTGTGCAGAGAGAGTTGGCTGATAGCTAGGGCCTGCAACTTAGAATCAAAATAAAGAATTTTAGAAATAAAAAAAAGGAAATTTTTCTTTTTAAAATTTTTGGTCTGTCCATGAGGGAAGTTGGTTATTAAAGATACTTTCAAAAGGACCACAGCCAAAGGTGAATCAATTATAATGAAGTGATAAATTATATGAGTGATTATAGTCAGAAATGCTCTCCTTAAGATACTTGAAGTCTGTTTCTCTTGACCATTACATAGAAATGTTTCCTCCCCTCAGCTTTGTGTGTTCTCCAGCTGCCAAAGCAGTCATTGTATACCTGGATGTGGGTTTAAGCAGTTAAGCTCAACACTGAGCCCTGATGGCTCTGTCCCCAGACCAATGCTCCACCACGTACCAGAGCAGCAGTGGCAGGTGACACTCCTGTGCTAACAACCCGCTCTCCCTGATATACCTCAGCTCCTTGGTAAATCACCAACAGCTCTTCCCGTCCATCTTTTAAACTGAGAGATGAAATTGCACCTCCACACGTGTCTGCACACCAGACACACACACACTACCCCTCAATATGCCAATTCTGAAACAAGCCTTTTGGAATGCGCTCAGTGTGAGATGTTGTTGCCATATAAAATGTAACCACTGAGAAACGGGGCCACTTGGAAACATTGCTGACACTGGCCAAAAGCTGCAGTAGACAAAGTCTGCAAACAGTCAAAGTTAAGCCCTGCTGTGGCTCTCCACCTCCTCCGCCCATCACCTCCACCTATGGTGATGGCGACAGAAGGCAACTGAATGCAACATTTTTGGCTGTATGCTCTCGATACAAATTGGTTATACAACAGTAATACAGAGAGCTTGCCACATCATTCTGGAGGCACTGCTACACTGGGGGCAAGTGTGAATGCGCTGATCTTCTCTTAGAGTGCTACCAGCTTCTAGAGGAGACATTCAGCCCACAGTCCTCAAATCATGAGGAGAGGAGAGAAGGAGGGGGAGAGGGAGATACTGCCTTAGCCAAAATGTTTGATTCTAAGCTACACTGAGTCAGCATTACTGTTTGTTGGAATAAGGACACTTCTTTAGTTTTGCACTTAGCTTTTGTAGATCTGTCAACCTCAGAGGACTCTAGTTCCTGGATGCCAGTAGAATAACAAAGGCATCACATAAAGAAACATTCACAGCAGCCTCAAGGAAGTAATTAAAGCTTTCTAGTCCACAGCAGTTAAATGACATTCAACCTCTAAAGTGACAAATTCTACTTATTTCAGATATTGAAAAAAAGCCTACAATCTATCCTTTCAAACTGTTTTCAGGTAATATTTATCCATTAATACTCCATTAAGGGTCCATTAGGATTAGTCTACTCTGGAGTGAGGCTGTAATTTAGTTAAGATTACAGGAATGTGATCCCTTTCTGACAATCATACTTATTTCAACAATTTTTCAAAAGAAGAAAAACAAGTACATGGTAGATGTACACAGTATGGCCTCTTACATACAACCAGGACTTCCTATCCTGCATCCCCTATTTCAGTACAAATCCATCTTTGCAGTTTTGAAGGCAAGTGCAATCCTTTGTAGGTGATTCAGTCTGAAAATGACTTATCTCTGCTCTTCAGGCAGTTTCAGTGCAGTTCTTTACTGCAGTATTTTGAGGCCAATCATCCTCTCCATTGTCCACCTTTGCATCCAAGGCTTTCCTTGCAAGAAGTGTACACAGATTTCAGCAGAGGCACAATGCAGTAGTGTTTCTTTAGAATTGCTAAAGTAGTATTAAAACACAACCCTGAGTTTGGCTCAGCTTCTCTGTAACTCCTTACAGAGCAGTTAATGAACTCCTCGTTTTTCAGCTACCTGCTAAAGGTGCTGCTTGCATCCATTTACAACTGTTTAAAATTAAAACTTGAAATGCATCATTGAAGATCAAAGAAGGACTTTTTTAAAGTATGTAGCACAGTTCCCTCAGAATCACTTAGAGAAATTTTCTCAACACTCACAGTGTGCTTTGACAACACATTCACCTCTACACCTTGCCTTACAGTTAGTGCAAAGTTCAACCTGCTACATGATTTTACAAACCTGCTCTGCTTTTTAGCTGGCCTTGATTTTCTGGAATGCTGCTTTCTGCCTCACCCAAGTCACTTGCCCAGTATAGACTCTTGCTGGGGAACGGAAAGGCAAGGGAAAGCAAGATCAAGTGCAAAAGCTAAAGTATGCTGAGAGTCTGAATAAAAAATAAGAGAAAGAATTTTAAAAATTTAGTTGCCCACCACCTGCAGTGCAGAACTGATGTATTTATAACTACATAACTAATGAATAAATCATTTATTATTGATTCCCTCTCTCAGTAATATTAACATAGATTACTTTAAATCATTCTTCCATATTTATACTATATAATATAGTATATTATATATACTATATACTATATATACTATATACTATATATACTATATACTATATACTAGCACTTTTCAATAACGTAGACCAAAACAAAAAGGTATAAATGTCAATATGAAATCGTAAGTAATAGGAATTAAAAAAAAAACAAAACAACAAAAGAACAGTACAGACTCATGCAATACTCATGTATTTCACTGGATTTTATTTCTACCAACCCCACACCACAGGCTCCCTAAAGCAACACATGGGTTCATCTTCTGCTTTGAAACAACGCAACTCTATCAAGGCTGCTGGTTTCTGATATATCTCCCACAATAAAAGAATGAATGGTATGTCTTCTTTTTAAAAGATTTTATTAAAGAATATTCAGTCAGCTGTATGAGACATTTATGGAACCTCGTTACTGAGTTAAAGTGCCATCAGTCAAGCCAAACACATAGAGAAGCTTATTCTCTTCAGTCTAATTTGCATGAGGTCTTACACAGTTCATGCCATGCAAAGTCCTATCAAGACCATTATACATTTTGCAACAACCCCTTTAACGAAACCCAAGGTTTCAAGAAACAGCAATTCAACACACATGAAAATAAAAATACAACTTGCACAACCAAGTATACTTACAAGCTGAATAGCAGCAACATCACTAAAAATAGCTGACTTTGTGCTTCACAGCAAAACTGTGCACGGCTCAACGATTTTGTTCACTGAACCATGAGGCTGACAAGCCTTTGAAAGGCACTCAGAGGCCTCAACCATTACAGTGCAAGATATCAGGAAAATTCTTTATTCTATTTGTCATTATGATGGCTTAAAAAAAAAAAATACTATTATTAAGACTTATTTTCAAATAATTTTTTACACAAGTGTTTCACCATCAGTACCCTGCATTGTCCAGCCTGACACGTAATGACAAATATGAGTATATATTGCAAAACACATTTCTGCTTAATTTTTATTTGTTAAACACAAGTTTCTAAGCAGATTTAACCACCAGAAATTATCCTCACACCCACAAATTTTATTTCAGCTTTCTTCTGAATGCCTGTGTCTATTGAAGATTGTCTTTCACTTCAAAACAGAGTTCCAACATAAATCACTCTCTTATTTCGTATTTACTGAGCAAAATACACTGTATTCCCACAGCATTTAAAGTGAGAATTTCACTGTTGTGAAAATACACTGCATAGCTATCTGCATTCTTTTTTGCAGACACCCCCTGGCACTTACTTCAGTAAGCCAACCATCACTTCACTGATATCCCACAGTTTCCTTGCAACCAAGTCATCCATGGCTTTGGGCAGTAGTTCTTCCTCTTTACAGTCTCCAAAATACTTTCCTGACACACCCTCGACGTCAGGAGAAGAGGCCAAATAAATAGATGTCTGGGCTCCTTCCAGAGGCGATTTGAAGAAAGCCCATGACACTAAGTTGAATAGAGGTTTGGCCAGCAAAGGAATATTCACATGTCTGCCTAGATTTGTTCTGACAATCCCAGGATGAAGGGAGTTGACGGTGACTCCTGTCCCTTCCAAACGACGGGCCAGCTCCCTGGCAAATAATATGTTAGCCAGTTTACTTCGGCTGTAACAAAAGCTTTTATTGTAGCTTATTTCACTGTTCAAGTCTTCAAAGTTGATCTCTCCATATTTGTAAAGCTTTGAGGACACTACAACAATCCTGCTTGGGGCAGAATTTTTGAGGAGGCCCAGAAGAAGGTTGGTGAGCAAGAAGTGGCCCAAGTGGTTTACACCAAATTGCATCTCAAAACCATCCTCTGTCTTCATGTATGGACACTGGAATATCCCTGCATTGTTTATCAGAACATCCAGCCTTGACTCTTCCTTTAAAGAGGAAAGAAAAAAAAAAATCATTCAGTTTTAGAACTCCAATATAAAACATTATTATTCTTCAATTTCTCACTGGGCATTATTAAAAAATAATTTAGTTTCTAGTTTTCTGAATTGTAACTTTCTGACATTCTCTTAAAGCATTGCTGGAAAAAACCCCACCTTTAAGTTGAACTGCGACTACTACCACTAAACTGTGCATTTGACCCCAGCAGGATGCAAGTACCTAGAGCAGGTCTGTATCAACCTCTAATGCAGGCAAAGAACACAACCATCAGCTTCTCCAAGTGCAGCTTTTTCTACAGCAATTCAGTGATAAATTACCTTTGTGATGCTTTTTTTTTTCCTCTTTAAAAGTAACCTATCTTTTGCACTGCAAGAGGACACACATTAATTCACGGCAAATCTCTGCTATAGCAGAGGGATCTAGTGCAAAAGACATGCAAGCATGGAACACAAGGTGTTAGCACAAGGAATTATCCTCAGGGCTGAAAAGGAACCATTACACTGTAAACCCATCATCTCACTGGGATGATATGAAAAACTCTGACAAATAATGTTTTCATTATTTTAAACCTGTCTTCCTTTAAAACCAGTACAGATCACTCTGCTGATGGGTGAGAACTACGGAGCAGGACTCATAGAAAAAGAACACTCATGTTTCACAAAATGTGAGGCCAATAGGTCTACTCAGGAACTAAGGAACAGAGGCTCTATGAGGTGCTCGGCACATGAGATTTGATGGATTGGTACTCTGGTTCAGGTTAGTAAAAACCAGACTCAAGGATGTGTGTTACACTCTCCAGGATCAGAAAATATAAGGAATTAACAGAGAGGTGGCGTTGATAATTTAGATACATGCATCATGCACTTCATGCTCCAGAATCCACTCAAAAATTAAGCACTCCACAATTTAACCAAAATTGTAATTTTTTTTAAAAAAACTCACCAAATTAAAATAAGCTCTGAATTCAACATTCTTACCAACCTCTGACAAAAAACTGTGAAAGCACAATTTATGCTTGCATGAACCGGAGGCAAAGGTATTCATTTTCTCTAAAAGCCCTGGGAGTTTTCTTTGCTTTTAATTCTTTAAACCCAGCGCAGGGACTGGAAGACCAGCCGAGACAATCTTGGACCATTTTGATGATAAAAATAGAGAACCTCATAAATGAATTCTGCACCATTTCTCTTTTACTTCACTACCATCAGCAGCAAAGATACAAAGAGCAAACCCCAAATTTACACTTGGCATTCAGTTAAAGGTCTGGCATCTGATCACTCAAAACTTCAAGTACTTCAGTCTCAGACTGGTTTCTGTGGAACTTGTGGCTGCTCAGTGTTTCATATAATTGGGTCCCAAAGGCACGATCTAAAGAGCACCAAACTCCTCCTCTTCATCCAAAAAGATACAATGGTCAGTCACTATCACTAAATCAGGACAGGAGTGAAGAGTCCTGACTGCAGATCTGCTCACTTAAGTGATCCTTCTTTCTTCTTTAGAGAAAAACATCGGACTGGAGGATTTATTTTGCAGGACTTAACACTTCAAAAAGCAAGACCTCCACATGTGCTATTGTGTGAAATTCCTACACATAATAACCAAGTGATGGGATCAATGCCAAGCAGGCAGCTACTACAACCAAGTGCAGAAGAGGGCACAAAACATTGCTTTGATGGGCAGTGCTTTTCTTGCAGCCTCTAAGTTCACCTTCACATTCCATTTTCCCATGGAAACCTCCAACATCTCAGTCTTTTATCTTTTTTTCCAGTGACACCAAGGAGTAAGAGATATAATCACTTTCAGTCATGCAAAGTAAAGCTCCCACAAATAAGGCTAAGCAGTGGGAGTGCACTGTCTTCCCATCATGCCAATGTTTACATCTTCTTTATGCCAAACAAAAAAACACAAGAAACCCCAAACAAATCCCAAAACCATAGCTCCAAAAAGGACTCACAGATAGGGAAGGTAAAGAACATAAACTTGAGTGGAAAAGCTCTTGAAAGTATTCTTGAGCTTGCACCCCTCGTCATTCAGGTGCATTCAAGTGATAATGCAGGCATCAGCAATACTCTGAAGATAGCAGTCTCTTTTCCTTTATCTATTTCTCACTTAAGAGCCACTCTAATACTTTGTACTATAAAACATATAATTCTTCAAAGTTAAACAATATGTCTTTTTTTTTTTTTTGGTATGTGCTTATTACACAAATTTTATATCCTTTCATTTATGCAGGCTTTCCCACAACATTGAAATGAGAGATTCATATATATATATATAGTCTACAAAGTGTCCCACTAGAGAACTTAAAACTAGACACTTTTAGAAAAGCAGTTTGAAAATTAATGCAATGTAGTCCCTGTTTTATTCCCCTCTTACAACAGGGTCTGAAGATCTTTTAAGTACTTAAAAAGCACATCTCTGAACAGCAGCAGAACTTATTAAACCCGGCTTCCCATGACTTCATGTCTCGTGACTTGAGTAGCTAGATGTGGTGAGATCAAAGTCCCAAAAGATGCTTTCTGTGGGAATGAAATAATGCCTCCAACAGTGTTTCCCTCTGCTCCACAGATCTAGTCGCATTTCTGTCAGGCAAAGCAACCAGAAATCCCCGTTCTACTTACACTCAGGTTTTCAGGGAATCTGCAAAAATTTATATATCCAAAAATGTCTATTGACTAGATTCTGCTGGTGCTGGAGAGATTTAAATCCTTGGGGGGCTGCAGCCTAAGGAGGTAGCAGAAGGATGTCTGGAGCATGTCAGCAGTGCACCTGTCAACTTTTATTTTTCTGGTGGCAAAGCTGAGCTGTAACACTAATTTAAACCAACAAAGGTTAAGCTAGTTAAATAAGTGAGAAAGGAAGAAAACTAATTTATCTCATACAGCAACAACAATTTTCTTCCCAGAACAGAAAACATCCAGTATATTTTTAAAACAAAATAGACCTATCACGAAGTTCATGCTTCCAGAAGCTAATTCACGGCCAATTTGCTTACACCCTCCTCTCAAACCCTGCGGTGACCTCAGCGGCTTCCCCAGCCCCCCGAGCGCGCCGCCGGCAGGAGGAACAGCCTCCCCAACCCACACGGAAACCCGGGCACCACCACGGAGCACAGAGCCGCCGCCAGCACTGCCCA